CGTTGCGAGGATTGTTGAGATGCACTCGACGATCTAAAGCGCACTCACTCTTCCGTTTTTGTTGTACTGCTGCATGTTGCGTCTGGTCTCTTTGACGCCCTCGCGAGTGCCGAGTGACTGCCACTTGTGAACGCTGTGAGCAGACATCGGCGGGTAGTCGTTTTTCCCTTGGTACCCGTTATATTGAGCCCCGCTGCCGCTTTCGTAGGCTCTCGAATTCTTATAATCGTAGCGCTGGTTGACCAACGGCTTTGGCGTCGTCGTCGTGGTTGTAGTCGTGGTAGTCGACTTTGTTGTGAAGGTATCGGTCTCGTCGCCATCGCCATTTTCGTCGTCAATGTAATCCTGCGGAAATTAATAATATATTCATAAATATTCATGATTATTAATATATAAGATATTAATATATAAATTATAGATAAATATTTAATAAAATACAAGATACTTAAATTTAATTGTCGCATTAAAGAAGAAATTTTCATTAAAGTTAGGATCTCTCTTCTCTTGCTTGTCTTTTTTAAGACGATTGAAGAGAAAGCGAGATGTCTCGATAGTGCGAAGAGAAGAAAATGCTTTTCACATAAAGGGCATCGACAACGTGTAAAAACTGTCCTCGCGAGATGGCCTCGCTTCTGCTTGTGGGTGGCCGATACGCCCCCATGAATTCTCGACAGATTTCCTCCCGGAGATAAATTTAATAAGCAAATTTGCATCTTTTACGCGCGTGTACCTTCTCTCGTGTTAGCTGTTCCGCGATCTCAAAGAGGATGGGGACCTACTTAATCGTCGTCTGTAACATCTGGAGTCTTTGATGTCGCGCCGCATAGCAGAAACAATCCTCGGTGAATGTGTATACTGGATCTAATATGAGTATTTTATCCAATAGAACTCTCGATTCCGGTTTGTCAGTAAATACGCGGATTTTCCGAACGTGCTAAAAATATTGGATGTAGATTGAATTACATTGACGGAATTATAAAAGCGTACAAAAATAAAAGTGAATTTGCTGCGATGTTGACATCGTAAAAAACTTAATAAATCCTGAAATATAAAATGAAATATTATTTTTACAATATAGATATTTTTGGTTCTTCATTATTTTCCGAAGAAGGAAATGTTTGTCATATCTAACCGCGAGATATTTCTGACAGAAAACACTATTAAAGAAAATATAAAAGAGGAAATAGCAGATTATTTTACGATAATTTCCGTAATCAATTGCTATTTCTAATACTTTCAGGCAATGAGAAACTGTAAGAAATAAGATGAAATCTTAACGTGAATGAATTATCCGTCTTTCCAATGGATAGCTTGTACAAAGCAGCCCATTACTCGACTGATGAATCGAACGTTACGCAAACATTTATCGTGTTTATCATGTTTTCGATCGTGATCAGGCCGCTCCTGCTATCGATTGAGATGTCAACTTCTATAAAGAGATTTATTTCGCTAATGGAGAATACTTTCTGCGATCGTCAAAGACGATCGCCTTGCAGCCTGCCTGAGTTACTGAACTCGTAAAGAGTTCAGGATTTTACAGAAGCTCCTTTGTTCCTAGCAACCTTCGCATGTCATGCAACATGTGGGCTCTAACGATGAAAGATCAAACCGTTTCTAAAGTTTTCAGAGGGATGATTGATCTGCAAAGTCATTTGTTCAACGAACTCGAACTTGATAACATGGACATTTATATACATTTACATATGTTCGTATATCTATTGTATATACGCACATTTTCACCCGTACAGTAATAATTATTAAAGGAAATCTGGAAGTAATATATAATCTAATTTTGTAAGCCGCTTGCGAGCATCAATCTCTATTAATTTTTGCCGATTTTTTTCTTGCCAGGTAATCCGTCCACCGTCCATCCATTTTACTTATCCTGCGAAACAACAGCGGACTCAAATCGAATCGTGAGCGCTCGATCGGTCGGGTGATTCTGTTCCATCGATCCATTACGTATCTTTATCGAATAAAGTGTTGAGTTAAAGTGTCGAGTTGCACGGGAAGCCGAAGTGTTAAGGCGAGTATTGATGAGATCTTAAGAATTACACAACCGTCCACCGTGGAGGAAGTAATCCTCCACGAGTCAGAGACAAGAATTGGCAGGAGGTTAAAAACCTAATCGGCGAATACGATGGCCGTAACTACGATTTTCATTGCTGAGAGAGGCAAATGCAGCGGCTTTCTCCAGTTACGCATTAGATTACGACCACAATCGCGAAGCGGACTCGAGTCAATCGAATCGTGAGCGCTCGATCGGTCGGATGGTCCTGCTTCGTCGACCCATTACGTATCCTTACCGAATAAAGTGTTGAGTTGGATAAAGTGTTGAGTTACGGATTCAAGTCTCTGATACTCTCTACTCTGGCCTCTGGCCTATCCTTACAATTTAAAAAGGACATATTTATAGATGGAGTTGAATAGTGAAAGCTAAAATTTAGTTTTTAGATAGAAAAAAATCCCGACATTTCTGGTGTATGCTTCATTGAAAACTAGATTATAAACTACATTATAAAAACGCGTCCAATTTACAAATATTATAATTATATGACATTAATTAATTTCTAAAACCTTCATGGAAATTTATTATTACGTATTCCACTTTGGATAATCTTTGTTGTAATTTTAGATGATAAAGATGAATAGGATGAAATAGTAATAAGGGAAAAATTTATTTTTCTCTGTTACTTAAACATTGACCGAGCAAGGCAACAGCGAACTTATTTCAACTTCTCTTTTATGAGACATCAGAACAAAAATTGTGTGGAGACACGAAGATTTACCCCATAAAAGATCTGCCAGACTCTCTTTGATCTCGGCTCGCAGAAAGACCGTCGGATTAAGACCGCCGATAAATTTAAGTATATCAGACGTATTCCGATGTGTGTGCCGCGCCTATCGTTAATGATCCTGAAGGAATCAGGGTCGACAAAAGTCAGTCCAGACTCCGGCTTAAAAATGAGCTCGCGGTTCCTCTGAATCTCGTCTTTAGATATGTCTGAAGCCGCCTGCAAAAATCAGGTCTCTAATGTCTAAATCTCTCGCCAGAATATTTATTACTCTCCGTTCTCTCTGTAGAGATTT